AAACTCCCATGCTCTTCTTTCAAGACTTTGACCCTATAGTTCATGATGTGATGAAGGACCAACATCCTGATGCCCCGTGGTGTGTAAGTTAAGAGAAAGGCCATGTGGTTCCAGACCTGAGGATCACGGGTGATCAACCTTACCTGCCACAGTGGACACTTGTTGCTGTCATTTGTAAAGGCATCCTTTCTCTAGACCTTGCTTTGGGGAACCCCCTCCTCTCCGCCTTCATCCTTGTGGTTTGGAGGGGGCTGACCCTTCCCCCAGCTACAGGATGGGCAGGAGCTTTAGGCCAAAGTCGATCAGTGGATTCCATCTACCAGCCCAGAGACTGAATCAGTCAAGCATCCACCACCCATTCTACTACATAGACATGCACACACATACATACAGAGATATACATTTCTAAATGCCCCCTGGGGATAGTACCCAGATGAAAACCAGTAAGCTAGAAAATCTCTAAGGTCCTTTCTAACCAAGCTGAAATGTCATGTATCAGCCAGACATGGTGGCTTATGCCTGTAATCCCAGCACTTTGGGAGGCCTAGGCAAGAGGATTGCTTGGACCCAGGAGTTCAAGACCAGCATGGGCAACATAGCAAGACCCCGTCTTTATAAAAAATGAAAAAATTAGCCAGGCATGGTGGGGCCTGCCTGTCATCCCAGTTACTCAGGAGGCTGAGCTGGAAGGATCGCCTGAACCCAGGAGGTCGAGGCTGTGGTGAATCACGAACATGTCACTGCACTCCAGCCTAGGCGACAGACAGAGACCCCGACTCAAAAAAGAAGAAAAAAAGAAAGCTATTCTCTCTGCAACCATCATTTTTCCAGACCTCTGACATCTCCAGCAAGAGCAGTTGGCTTGGGTAAGGGGTTCATTTCTACAAATAAGTGGGGCTTATCACTTCCCAAGTGTCACAGAACAGCAGTGAAACTGATAGCTGGTAGTCAGTGACATTCAGTCCCTTTCACGCCAGTTTCTTAGCTCGTGTAATTTTCTACACGTCATTCTTTGTTAACCCAAACCACAAACATTAAGTCCTTGAGCGCCAAGGACCTGCCCCACCACCCAGTATTCAGTAGCTGTAAGAGTATTCAGTTTTCAGGGCTGTTTATAATTTGTGAGTCTTTAATTCTATTTTTTTTTTAATGTTACCTTTGCCATCTTTGTGAATTTGGCTTTCTTGCTTTAAACCGTGTTGTTTTCTCTTCCTGGCAATTGTGGGCTCCTTGTGGTGATTCTCAGACAAATGTCCTAAACCCTCCACTGGCAAATTCAGATGGGTCTGGAGAGCCAGTTATGTTCCATGCGTTGCCTTTGAAATACGAGCACAATAAGATGACTTCACATTGCGTGAGGACGCCAGCCCGATTCAGGCTGAGGCATACGGCCACGACACAGGCAGTCCTTTCATCCCGGTTCTCTTCAGAACTGTCATAAATGATTGCTGCTGGATGTGTTGCCAGGAGCCTGGGGCCAGTTTTCATGTTGAGGAGGATTTGAGGGGTATCCTATAGCACCCTACTGGCTCAGCGGGCTGACAACCTCTCCTGCCACTTCAGCCCTTCCACGGAGCACAGCAGTGGTTTTGCACAGTGGGATCTGCCCCTTGCAACAAAGTGGTCATTTCTCTATTTGAAGGCTGAAAGTGATGCATCAAAGAAGACAGAGAAGTGATCGAGAAAGGGGAAGTGGGAGGAGGCAGTTAAACCACTTCAAAACCACTTTTAGAATTTCAGGCTGCGTAGAAAGTGGCCCTGAAACTGAGAGTGAAACCTCAGTCTTTCATATATTCATCTTGGAAGCCAAGGGTTGATGGGAAGGTTGGTTCTGACAACCCCGTGCCCTCGTGGACAGCAAATTTAAGCAATTTCCCCAAATTTCCTACATTAGCTTTGCTTTAAATTACCATGACTGCCCTGAATAATCTCCCTCATCTTCTCCTTATTTCCTTTATCCCTCAGATTTAGACCTCGCACGGAAACTGAGGTTTGATTTTCAGCAGAATCAGCTGTGACCAAGCTTCCTGCAGGGCTGTCGGTACATTAAAGAAATGGAATGGAAGTGTCTTGAATCTTGTCCGTCTCTCCTTTATGCAAAGTAATCACCTCCAGCTGGGCCGAGTTGATTGAGCAAATGTTCAGTTTTTCACATGATTTTGCTGCAGTATCATAATGCATGTATTTCTTTGATGGAAGAAAGAAGTTTCACAAAATAAACCGCTTAAGGATTCAGAGCTGGAACTGAAAACATGAGCTGCTTTGTTCCGATGACAACTTCTTCACCATCTAAAACATTTCTCCATGTCGGAGGCTCTGTCTTTTCTCTTCTGGCCACAGCCCTCAAGCTACAATAACAGGCTCATGATTTTTTTAGATGCCAAGGTTATGAATACTCTTTTATGAATATTTTCCTTTGAACTCATTTCTCTCAAAGAAGAAAAATAGCCCTATGTGTTGCCGGGTTGACAGTAATAGACAAAATGTACAAATTGTTCTCTTAGGGGCAGTAAAATGCTCCAAGATGCACATAGAAAAATTCCACATGCAACCTCATGTTTATGGAGCATTGCCTTTGCGGCTATAATTCTTAAGAAGTAATATTTCTGACTGGCATGAATTACACAGAGCATGTTTCAAAGAAGACTATCAAGGCTGATACCTTAAGATGTCTCCCTTTCTGACATCATGACTGCTTTTCCCATTTTGGTGCAAACTCTTTGTGAACAGAATTTTAGGATATGCCTGTTCAAAGGAAGGAAACCGTCACTGAATTAAGCTGCTTATGTTTTATTTTTCCTTTTATCCTATTTCAACCTATCCACCAGGCTCCTCTGAAAATAATTCAACTAATGTCAACTCAACAGATTATCATAGATCTATTAATTTCATCCGGCTTCAAAAGGAGCTTATCATTTAGACTTATAATTATGTATGCAGTACTCAGCAAATGTTTAGGTTCCTTATTAAAATTTAGTTTCGTACTATTATAATATCATCAGTTAAATCATTTCTTTTCTCACGTAAAAAAAAAAAAGATGCTTTTTTCCCCTGAACTCCTTTCAAATGTTTCTTCTCATTCAAAAATTAATCCAGAAAACTCATCTTCCTTTAATCCTGCTTTTTGGCTTAGGTTCTATTTAGCCTGGAACCACTCCTGTTGATTTCTGTTATATCCACACTAATGCAAAAATAGCCTTTACTACAGCAGAGAAATCATTCTGCATGGAAACAACATGCCTCTGAGCCTACATGGTCATTCTGCATGGAAACAACATGCCTCTGAGCCTACATGATCAGGTGAATCATGGTGACAATGATTTAAAACTGAGGAAATGACCTATAAAAATATCAAGGTACAACTGTTGCTTTGCATTTGGTGTTAAGAATATTCCGCAGTCTTTTTCATGTATAGAGGCAATACTCTATAGTGGTTCCGAGCATAAGCTTTAGAGCCAGATTGCTTGGATTCAAAACCTGCTGTTACCACTTACTAGCCACATGATCTTGGAGAATACACTTAACTAATCTGGGTATCATAAAATGAGGTTTGATGTTGTGAGATTTGTTGTGAGGATTAAGTTGGTAAAAACATGTAAAGCACTTATGACACTGTCTGGCACAGAATTCATATTCAGTCAGCATTCACTCTTAATATTAACTCACAAAGGCATGACATTCCTTTACATGACTTTAAAATGAGATTCGTAAAATAAAAAGAAATCAGTCAGGTGCAGTGGCTCGTGCCTGTCATCCCAGCACTTTGGGAGATGGAGGTAAGAGGATTGCCTGAGCCCAGAGGTTCAAGACCAGCCTGGACAATTTGGTGAGACCTCATCTCTACAGTAAATCAAAAAACTAACTGGGTGAGGTGGCACATGCCTGTGGTTCCAGCTACTTGGAAGGCTAAGGTGGGAGGATCACCTGAGCCTAGCAGGTCGAGGTTGTGGTGGCCATGAGCGTGCCACTACACTCCAGCCTGGGCAACAGAGTGAGACTCTGATTCAAAAAAATATTTTTTTAATTTAAATAAATAAATACAAATTTAAAAAAAGAGAAATTCTAGAAAAATCAAATTTTGTAAATTTTACCAACATGAATTACAGACGGATAATGTTATTCCAGTATATGTATGATATATATATAATTCTGATTATATTCTTGTATATAATTATACACATTTGTGTAGATAAAATTATATTTATTCTTTTCTTGCCTGAGAAGTCCGTGTTAGCAAGTAAATCATTTCCCATTGACTTCCACTGTCAACTTGAACCTGCCATTGCTTCTGCACCCAGCTTATCTGTCTCACTCTACCCAGCCCCCACACACTATTTTGGTGAGTATTTATTAAATGTTTCCTCCAAGCAGGGATCACACAGAAAACAGTTATGGCAGGATACATTTCCTAATTGACTAATTCGTAAGATAGATTTCTAGATAATTAATTGTTCTAGATAATTTTCTAGACAATTATTTCTTATAGCTAAAGACAATTCAGGAATGCCTATGTTTTCCGGGGGGGGGGGGGAATGCTCTATGCTCTATATAATCAACCAAACTTGAATATCATATAATTTATCTACACAAAAATTACAACTACTATGTTACTACTGTGTTTCCTTAATATTGACTTTGGAGGCCAACAGTAATCTTTTTCTGTATTCATCTCAACCCAAGATCTAAACAGTAAATACATGTTTAGTAACTACACAGTTTAGCAGGAAAAAAAACCCAAAACATTGTAACACAGTTTAATTATACCTATGTAATAAAAACCCTGCCTTTAAAAAAGTGAGAAAAAACTAAGTGTCAATGGTGATTCTGTCGATAGAATGGGATTATAGTTTTCTTCTTTTCTCCATTTTCCAATGTTTATGTTATTGTCCATATTATCTTTACGATAAAAATATTACATTTGTAAAACTCTATTAAAGTTGGACTATGCATTAAATCATATGATTCTTCTTTTATAATACGTAAAAAAGAAATTCACAACATGGCATTTAATTCTGATTTTAATTTCCATGATATTAACCCTACCAAGATTCCTCAAAGAAATTTGAAAGACTTCAAACTATATCTTTGCTTTGTATTATATTCAGTAGATTCTCACATATGAAAAATCATAAAACAAAGGCTACATATCGCAACCATCACTTAAGTGCTGTTCAGAAGGCTACAATATTTAATAAATGAATCTGATTTTGTTTCACAGTGTTTATCTAAAACAGTTTTTAAAAGATATTTATTTTCTATTTTTCTTACATTCTCCCTTTTTTAATCTGTAAATAAAAATGAATGAAAAATTTAGGACACAACATCATTCTATAATGATTCTAGAACTGGTCTTGCATTAAAGACACCCAGAAATGGATCTATAAGATAGATGTCATCACACAGTATTTGTCTGGCATCAGATTATTTTAAACGGTGCCTTGACTTTTGACTTCAATGCTAGAAGCAATTGCCGTAATCTACATCAGAATATTACAAATGAAGATACTCTAACACAAAGACTTGGATGATTTTGTTTAGATTGTCAATGGTTGCTTCGTTCAGATTTTCTTCATTGTCATCCATGGTGTGCCAGACTTCAGGGAAGGGAGATGGTATCAAATGCAGAATTGGAACACCTAATGAGAAAGAACCAACTTGTAATTAAGTGCTTATTTCCACCAAGTACGCTAGGAAGTGTCATTCTTCGAGCAGAAGGAGTGCTCCACGTACAAAGACAGCTGGGGAATTCATCATCTTCAATGTACCTCCCTATAGCTTACCCGGGCACTCCAAAATCAGTCATTCACTAAATACATATTCATGAATTCGTCACATAATTATAAAGTACCTGCTAAGTGCCAGTTTCTGTTCTAGAAGTTGAGATTTCATTCGTGAAAAGGCAAAGCCCCAACCACATGGAGCTTACCATTCAGTGGAGCGAGAAACAAGTAAACAAATATGAAACATGATTTTAGGGAGTGAAAAGGTTTATGAAGAAGAATTAACCAAGGTAAGGGACTAGAGAATGTAAGACCAGTGGCCAGACCAAGAGAGGGGGTATTTAAAGTCCAGGAAGGCCCCCTGGAGAAGCTAACATTAAAATAGAGAAACACACCACAGGGGAAGCAAGCCATGCAGAGATCTGGGGTGAGGTGAGAACTCCCGGCAGCTTTACTAGCGAGTGCAAAAGTCCTAAGGTAGAAGTGTGCTGGGTCTGCTTAAGGAACAGTAAGAAGGCCCGTGTGGAGAGAGAGGTAAGAGGTGACATTGAAGAGGGGGAGCTGAGTCAGAAAATAGAGGCCCTTGGAAGCCATGGTAAAGACTTTGGGTTTTATTCTACACCAGACACATCCATGCCATGGCTTGTGGGCCGCCTGTGGCCCAGAACAGCTAGGAATGTGGCCCCACAAAATCTTTTAATGTCATGTCTATTTTAGCATCTATTTTCTTCACGACCCCATGCATAGTTCCATTTTTGAAGTTCACAGTCACACCTTATTCATGACATCACATTTTGACAGCACATACATTTGTGAGCAGCTGTTTTCAATTATGAAGCACATGAAAAGCAAAATTCAAACAAGCATTTCTGACAAGCACCTTGAGAACCCACTGAGAATTACAACCAATCCTATCGAACCAGACATTGATAAATTCATTTCACAAAAATGAGGTCAAATTTCCTACTAGTCTTCTATTGTTCTCATTTTTCTAAACCCCATAATAAAAAATATTTTAAAAGAAGTCCTATTCTGAAAATATACTATCATATATAATTTATGTGTGGCCCAAGACAATTCCTTGTTACTCAATGTGGCCCAGGGAGGCCAAAAGGTTGGACACCCCTGTTTTACGTGGTGCTCCCACATTCTCTATTCCCTTACTTTGGTTAATTCTTATCACTCCCTAAAATCATGTTTCATATTTATTTACCTGCTTCTCTCTCCACTGAATTGTAAAAAGAGGAGAAATTGTAAAAAGAGGAAAGTGGCATTGTTTGATTTATATTTTAAAAAGATAACTCTAGCTCCTATACAAAGAATGGGGAAGCAAGAGCAAAAAATGGAGACCAATTGGAAGGCTACCCCAAGAGTCCTCGGGTTGATTTAGACATCTACCATCTTGACACCAAGAATATCGGTACCTTATTGACCAGAAAACCCCAGAGTTACACAAGATATCAGAATACAATTTAACTCTATGAAAAGGAAGGCAGGATGTCAGTGGGATGTGAACTTTGTTTATTCTTTTTTTTTTTTGAGTTGGGGTCTCACTCTGTCACCCAGGTTGGAGTATAGTGGCACAATCACGGCTCACCACAGTCTTGACCTCCTGCGTTCAGGTGTTCCTCTTTCCTCAGCCTCCCAAATAGTTGGGTGACAGGCATGTATCTCCATGCCTGGCTAATTTTTATTTTTATTTTTATTTTTATAGAGACAAGGTTTCACTATGTTGCCTAGAACTCCTGGGCTCAAACAGTCCTCCTGCCTCAGCCTCCCAAAGTGCTAGGATTCCAGGTGTGAGTCACTGTGGCTGGTGAGATGTGAGCTTTCATAAATATTCTAGGTGTAGAAAAGAATATAAAGGTGTCCTCAAAGATTTGGAATGACTTTTATGAGAAAACAGAAGCCATGATGGACGACTTCAAGTGATGGATGATTTAATTAATCAACTAATTAAATATAATGGTTCCTCAAACTTGTAGATAGTCACAAAACAGGGGGAATGGGGATTAGTTCTAAGAAATTAGCACAAAGTGCTGCATAGCGGTATTATACTTAGATGCCACCTTGAAAATCTAAAACTGAATGTGTATGAGACATGGGCGTGGGACACGGGAAAAAGGCAGAATTAAGGACAACTCCCAGGACTCTGACCTGAGCAACTGGATAAATGTAGACCATTTACTGAGAAGGGCAAGACTAGGAAAGAAGCACTTACAGTCAAGCCCCTCATTCCTCCATATTGATGAACAAAGGTGGACTCTGTCATTTCATTTGAAACCTGAAGAGCGTGGTCTGGTTAGAGGATATCAAAGTGTAAAATGCTGCATCTGAATCGTACCTGGTATCCATAAACATCATGTGAAAAAGTGTCTGGACTCCTCGCCTTCCATTCATTTTGACCTGAGCACCTGACTGACTTCTAGCTTCCAGGTACACAATTAGAAGACACTTATTGGTGAAAGTTTATATATAGCACAATCTGCATACTTCTTTTTAAAAGATAGGTACTCACTCAAGTTAATTTTATTGTCTGTTTTAGATCATTTAAAATAGCTTTAGGTTGGTTCAGATCACTTATATCTAAATTTGGCACAGTTAGTCTTTAGAGAAGGATGGTTTTAGTGATTTGAAATGCACCAAAAATTATTCGTGTTTATTTGCTTCTTAATTTGCTGTGTGCAGCAATTAGAGACCTGGGGTGTTTCACTGCTAAAGTGAGCTAGCTGATTCTACCAGAAAGCTAAATATGGTTTGGGAATGAGACAAGGCTAAAAACATTGACCTTGCTCTACTTTTAAGAGTGGATGAGTGATATGTAGTCTTGGAATTTCAAAACGCACACAAAATATAATAAATACGATAAGTCAAAAATTTGCATATGCACACACACACACATTACCTCTTCTTAAAAATGGAATATGGTCATCCTGAATCACGTTTCCATAACCATGATTCTGGAAATACTGCCTCTCCCAAGAGTGATCCTTGAGCAATCCCAATTCATGGAGTTCATTTTCTGTAGATGACAATGAAATAGTAGATGAGCAACTATTTCGATCTGCTCAAGACTCAGAACATATCCTTATTTAGGGAGTTTGAAATATTTGCGCATGTGGTCTTAATTTTTAAAAGATTATGCAACAGTGAGCATGGCCACGCCCATGACAATAAACATCTGGGTTGAACTTGGGTGTGCACATTTTGGAGTAGGAAGAGAGAGGAAACCTTACAGGTAAGAATCTCCTTAGAGGCAGAAACTCAACAGAACAATAGAGAGACAGAGAATGAGAAACCAGTGGAAAATGAGGGGAAAACCCAGGTTAGGTACTTCTAGGTCCAAGATGCTGCATGACAAATGCTTAAAGATGAGATATGGGCTTATGAGAAAAATATTCAAGCAGAATAAGGATATAGAGCTTATCAAGTGACAACTCTATCGGAAAAGGATACCTAAGGTGACCTACATCAGTGGTTTGCAAAGTGTGACTGGTAACATCTGCGTCACCTGGGAACTTGTTAGAAATGTAAATTATCTGGGTCCACATCAGACTTACAGAAATTCTGGGAGTGGAGTAAAACAATCTGTGTTGTAGCAAGCCCTCCAAGGATGCTAAAAGGTTTGAGAACCACTGGCCTGCATAACCCAAGTGTCACATGTTACAAAGGATGACAATATCAAACGAATATTATAGAGCTGTTTTGTTTTGTTTTTTAATTGCTAAATATAAAGAGGAAACTAGACCAACCGGTAAGCACCCATATGTAATATGATCTTAGGAACATTGAGAAAGTCCTAGCCACCACCAAAAACAATATTCCCATCTATTTACCGATACCTATCATTCCTTTACCACAGGATACAACTTTTTTTCAGATATGTTCTCACTCTATTGCTGAAGCTAAAGTGTAGTGGCGTGATCATAGCTCACTGCAGCCTCAACCTCCTGGTCTTAAGTGACCCTCCCACCTCAGCCTCCTGCGCAGTAACCTTGATGTATGCAGCCATGCCTGGCTAATTTTTTAATTTTTTTTTAATTTTTAAAACTTATTTTTGGCCAGGTGCAGTGGCTGAAGCCTGTAATCCCAGCACTTTGGGAGGCTGAGGTGAGAGGATTACCTGAGCCCACAGGTTTGAGACCAGCCTGGGCAACTTGATGAGACCTCATCTCTACAATTAAAAAAAATAATAATTAGCTAGACGTGGTAGTGCACCTCTGTAATTCTGGCTACTTGGAAGGCTGAGGTGGAAGGATCGCCTGAGTCCAGCAGGTTGAGTCTGCGGTGGCTGTGAGCATGCCATTGCACTCCAGCCTAGGCAACAGAGTGAGACACCAACTCAAAAATAAAATATAATAAAATAAAGTAAAAAATGTATTTTTTGTAGAGATGGGGTTACACTATGTTAATCCAGGTTGGACTTAAACTTCCTGCCTCAAATGATCCTCCCATTTTGGCCTCCCAAAATACTGGGATTAAAGACATGAGCTATTGCCCCTGGCCAGGATACAGCTTTTTTTTACACAATTAGAGATATAGTTTGAAGTGTAAGAACCAGTAGGAGGGGCAACACAATGGGTTAAAACTGCATGAAGGTGCAAGTTATTGACATAAATTTGTTCTGGTACAGAAAATAAGAAAAGTGCATGAAACCCTTGAAAAAAGGCCAAACAGTTTCTCGAGGCTACCATCACAGTAAGGAAAACACTGCCAGAAAAGGCTCAAGAAGTTTATATTAATAATATCATAATAGTGGCCGGGTTCAGTGACTCAGCCTGTAATCCCAGCACTTTGGGAGGCCGAGGCAAATGGACTGCCTGAGCCCGTGAGTTCAAGACTAGCCTGGGCAACTTGGCAAGACCTCGTCTCTACAATAAAATAAAGATAGCTGGGCGTGGTAGCGCACATCTACAGTTCCAGCTACTCAGAAGGCAGAGGCGGAAGGATTACTGGAGCCCAGCAGGTCTATGCTGGGGTGGCCGGGAGATCGCGTGCCACTGCACTCCAGCCTGGGCGAAGGAGTTAGACTCCAACTCAAAAAATAATAATAATATCATAATAGCAATTCTTCCAAGCTAGGAATTGAAATTGGCCAAAGATGAGCATCTGAAGTTCGGGTTGAAGCTTCTCCTGTAAGAGTCTAGACCTAAACCAGGCTCGGTGGCTCAGCCTGTAATCCCACGCCTTTGGGAGGCTGAGGTGAGTGGATTGCCTGAGCCCATGGGTTCGAGACCCTCCTG